CTACGTGCCGATGTCCAACCGTACGGGACTGGTGCGCAGCCCGTTCGAGGAGCCGCAGTATTACCTGGCGGAGCCGTGGCAGTTCTCCCTGCTGGCGGCCTACATGCTGTTCCTGATCCTGGGCTCTTTCCCGATCAACGCGCTCACGCTCTACGTCACGGTGCAGCACAAGAAGCTGCGCACGCCGCTCAACTACATCCTGCTGAACCTGGCGGTGGCCGACCTGTTCATGGTGCTCGGAGGCTTCACCGTCACGCTCTACACCGCCCTGCACGGCTACTTCCTGCTGGGGGTCACCGGCTGCAACATCGAGGGCTTCTTCGCCACACTCGGCGGTGAGCACACTACAACACCGTAGAGCACACTACAGCACACTAGAGCAGTGTCTCCCAGCCCTGTTCCTGGAGACATTCTGGACGCCTCCCTCACCTGAGCCCTTCACTTCAGGGTTTGATGAGCGCTGCAGGTGTGTCTGATGAGGATGGAAGTGTGTACTGCTGCTGTCACCTCTGGAACACGGCTGGGAAACACTACACTAGAGAAGAGCACCCTACAGTAGAGCACACTAACTGTGGTAGAGCATACTAACTAGTGCACACTATAGTAGATAAACAGTAGAGTAGAGCACAGACTATATAGTAGAGCACACTACAGTACACTGGAGCACACTAACTCTACAGTATACTAGAGTAGAGTAGAGCACACTAACTAGAGTATACTAGAGTAGAGCACACTAACTAGAGTATACTAGAGTAGAGCACACTAACTAGAGTATACTAGAGTAGAGCACACTAACTAGAGTATACTAAAGTAGAGCACACTAACTAGAGTATACTAGAGTAGAGCACACTAACTAGAGTATACTAGAGTAGAGCACACTAACTAGAGTATACTAGAGTAGAGCACACTAACTAGAGTATACTAGAGTAGAGCACACTAACTAGAGTATACTAGAGTAGAGCACACTAACTAGAGTATAATAGAGTAGAGCACACTAACTAGAGTATACTAGAGTAGAGCACACTAACTAGAGTATACTAGAGTAGAGCACACTAACTAGAGTATACTAGAGTAGAGCACACTAACTAGAGTATACTAGAGTAGAGCACACTAACTAGAGTATACTAGAGTTGAGTACACTCACTGTAGAGCAAATGACAAATATCCCTACCACACATGAAGGACTCAACGTTCACTTCACTGTAGATAAAGGCAAGTAAACACCCTCCGTCCCTGTCATGTCCCTCTATTGTGTGTGTGTGTGTGTGTGTGTGTGTGTGTGTGTGTGTGTGTGTGTGTGTGTGTGTGTGTGTGTGTGTGTGTGTGTGTGTGCGCAGGTGAGATTGCGCTCTGGTCTCTGGTGGTTCTGGCCATCGAGCGCTATATAGTGGTCTGTAAACCCATGAGCACGTTCCGCTTCGGGGAGAAACACGCCATCATAGGAGTGGGCTTCACCTGGGTCATGGCCCTCACCTGCGCCGTGCCCCCGCTGCTGGGGTGGTCCAGGTAAAACAGAACACACACCTGCAGAAACACACACCTGAGCCCATGCAGAGCTGAGTTCTGAAGTGGTGTGTGTGTGTGTGTGTGTGTGTGTGTGTGTGTGTGTGTGTGTGTGTGTGTGTGTGTGTGTGTGTGT